ATAGATAGATAGATAGATAGATAGATAGATAGATAGATAGATAGATAGATAGATAGATACCCTGTTTTCCCGAAAATAAGACCCAACTGGAAAATAAGTGCTAGTATGATTTCTTTTCGGGATGCTCGTAATATAAGTCCCCCCAAATAAGCCCCAGTTAAGATTGTCAAGCCAGACAGATGCATTTAGTTGGAGATCGGAGACCCCTGGTTTAGATGATGGTGGAGCAGGAGAACTCAAGGTGAAGTGCCATGAGGTCCACTCTTTGGAATTTGGTGTGTGTCCAGTGCCCTCTAGTGGACAGACCTCCTCTCCCACCCTTAATAGAGGCTTCCCCCAATTTGTCACCTCCAAAGACTGTGAGTTCTAGTCTTGCCTTAGGTACGAAAGATGACTGGGTGACTTTGGGCCAATCACCAGGGGACTGTGAGTTCTAGTCCTGCTTTAGGCATGAAAGCCAACTGGGGGACTATGAGCCGATCCCTCTAGCCCCTCTCTCAGCCTAACCTTTCCCCGCAGGGTTGTTATTGTGGGGACAACAGGAGGAGGAGGAAGGTCTGTTGATCCCTTTAAATTATTTCTAAAACTGAGAAGGGAAGACAGACGACAATTCCGGATTCAACCTTTCCTGTGTCACATTTAAACGCCTCCTCTGCCCAGAGGGAAACGTGACCCTCCTTTTCAGTTCCCCCCCCCCCCACAAACACGCCTCGCTCTCCTTTCTTCCAGGTGTGGTTTAAGAACCGCCGGGCCAAATGTCGCCAGCAGCAACAACAGAGTAGCGGACAGGCCAAAGCTCGGCCAGCCAAGAAGAAAACCTCTCCAGCTCCGGAGACCAGTTCCGAAACTAGCGCCAACGGGCAGTACAGCCCTCTGCCCGCCGGCACCTCGGTGGCCCCCAGCTCGAGTGCCAGCGCCACCGTCTCCATCTGGAGCCCGGCTTCCATCTCGCCGCTCCCAGACCCGCTGGCCTCCTCCACCACCCCCTGCATGCAGAGGTCAGCCGCCTTCCCCATGACCTACACCCAGGCGCCGGGTTACACCCAGTCCTACGCTGGCTCGACTTCCTACTTCAGTAGCCTTGACTGCAGCTCCTACCTGTCCCCCATGCACCCCCAGCTCTCTGCACCTGGCGCGGCGCTCAGCCCCCTGTCCACCCCAACCATGGGCAGCCACCTGAGCCAGTCCCCGGCCACCCTCTCCAGCCAGGGGTACAGCGGCGCAGGCATGGGCTTCAGCTCGGTGGATTGCCTAGACTACAAAGACCCCACGGCCTCCTGGAAGCTGAACTTCAACGCCGCCGATTGCTTGGATTACAAAGATCAAAGTTCGTGGAAGTTCCAGGTCTTGTGAATGGGTGAGGCCTGGGCACCCACCTTAGGTAGGAGGAAGCTCCCGTTTTCCTTTGACGGTCTTGTCTTTTGGTGGTGGGTCAACCGTCCTTCTCACTGCTCTTGCACTGAGATTGATCTTCTCGTCTTGTCCCTTTCCCCCCCCCCCCCTGGTCCTGCCTACGTAAACATCTGCCATAACTTGCTTTCTCTACTGCTGTTGGGAAGCCGGCCTCTTGAGAGGAGAACTTAGGACCGTCTTCAGGAGATGAAACTGCTTTCCATCCGTTGGGGCTCCTCACCCTTCTTGGTGGAACACTGATGGTTGGACTTCTGGAAGAACGGAAGCCCAGACTGGGGACGACCATCTCGCTTCCAGCAGGACTCAACCTCCACTCATTGGAAGGTCAACCAGCCACGGTGAAGACCAGCTGTAGGACCTTCCAGAATTTACATTCCGGAGGATTCTGTTTTCTCCCGAACACACCATCTTTCACCACTACTAGGGTGAGCAAGCCAGGTGGCAGATGTCCCAACAAAACAAATCATGGCTGCCGGCACCGAGCAGGAAGAAATACATTTTTGCGGGAGTCAATGGCTCGTCAAGTGTTGGTTGGACCAGAGGTAAACCTCCATCTCTTCCTCCTCGCCTGCGCTGAGACCGCTTCAAGGGGGCTTTTAGAGTTGACTGGCCTCCTGGAACCTTTTGGGGATTTTCTCCAGTTCTTTGGAAGGGTAGGATTTTCCCCACCCCACCCCAGTTTTTATTAGCTCATCGTCGAGAGCCAGTTGTGAGTCCCTGCTTAGTTCTCCTCCAGAAATCCTTCTTCCGAATGTCTCCTTGGCCCACGAGGCTCGTTCCAACAGGAGGGAGAAAGCCCATCCATGAAGGAATCTCAAGCTATGGAGAAGTTCCTAAGGGCCTGCCACAGATCCTCCAGGAACATTGTCTGGTCTCTCCTACGTCCATCGTAGCCAACAGTATGCACTTCTCCAAGTCTATCTGAGGGTGCTTTGCTCCACAACGATGTCCTGCTAGCTTTCTTCTCTTAGCTGGTTTCTCCTTTGTGCAAGCCACTACACTGAGAAAATTACCTTTTAATCGACCATCTCAATTTGCAGAAGAGCGGAAACCTCAGGACCGATCCACCTAATTTGTTCTCCGAAACCTGTTAAGAATATTCCTGCAATCCCTTTGTGGCTTTCCTATCTTCCTGACTGCTCCCCGCCCCACAAAAAAAATAAAAGCAATAGTTTTAGTTGGAGAGGCTAAAACAGAAGAGCTGACCAAGGTGTGTAGAGATAGACACAACCCTGAAGCCATCCACCTGGAGAAGATATCAGATGGGGGTGCATGCTGAGCCTCCAGGGCATTTCCCCCCTCTACCCACTTTTCAAAGACTTGAGTGTCCTAGAGATTTCAGTATCTCAGATTCCTCTTTGACAAATGGGATTCGAGACCCCAGTGAAATATGGAAGGCCAACTCTTCCAACTGTTTTGTCCCTGCCTTTGCACAGATTAATTGGGATTTTTAAAGCCTTTGCAGGAGGGGGAAGTAAATTGATGTGGTTTTTCCAAAAAAACCGAAGCTTTTGGGATCTTGCCTGAGAACCAACGCGGAATCTCTCCGTTTTTTTTTATGAAGGCAGTAACATTGGCCGTTAGTTTGGGACACTCATTGATTCTTCCCCCACTTTTTATAAAAATAAAAATTAATAAACGTTCTATCCATTATATATGTATATAAGATAGCATGGGTGCCCAGGAAACAAAGTTGGTGGAAGGAAAGTAAATTTGTCCCCTTGTTAAAATGTTTTTTTTTAAAGTAGGAAACGCTTTGATGATTCCCCCCCCCCCTTCCCACTTTTTGATTAAAAAATAAAAACCCCAACGTAATAGAAGTGCTAAATGAATTTTGAAAAATTGTAAAAGCAGACAGCCCGGGCACCTTAAAAAACAAGTTAGCGGAAGGAGATAGAATTGTCAAAAGTCAAAATATCTCTTTAAGTAGGGAATGCTCGGATGAGTTTTCCCCCCTCTGTCCAAACTTTGTAAAATAAAATGAAAATTAAGAGAGTTCCATCAGAAATTTTTAAACATGTAAAAAATAAGCAGCACGCAGCCTTGGAAAAAAAAGTTGGTGGACAATTGTCAACTTGTCAAACTATCTTTTTAAACAATTGCTTTCGTCTGCAGGCAAAAACGTTTTGCTAATGGCGGGCCAATCCATTCTGAACGCAGGGCTGATTCAAATAAGAATCCACATTTTAGACAACAGTCCCAGGGATCATTTTCTATTCATGTCTAAACTGGAGGGACAGTTTTTGTATATTACGATCACTACGTTAATCCTTTAGACCAGGGGTGTCCAAACTTGGGAACTTTAAGACTTGTGGACTTCAACTCCCAGAATTCCCCAGCCGGCTGGCTAGGGAATTCTGGGAGTTGAAGTCCACAAGTCTTAAAAGTTCCCAAGTTTGAACACCCCTGGTTTAGACTTTTAAAAAGCAACGAGACCTTTTGCTAGTCATTTTTTTTTTAAACATTGATTTAAAAAGAGGTAACAGTGGGCTGGAAATAAATAAATGCAGAAATCTAACATTTTTTATGGCTTCATTTATCAAAGCTGTATTTTATTAAACTTGTACAGGTTAAAAACAGTGATAAGTGTTTAATATATATATATATTATATTTTGAGATTATTTTTACTTCTCTCCAATGCATTTAAGGAACTGGACTTTTCGAATTTAAAATAAATGCTTGGTGTTAGATTCTTCTTTTTTAGTCTAGTTATCCTAGTCATTTTTTTAAAATAAAGGAAACAACTGTCCTTTTGCTGTAGACGGAAACATTTCATGCAAATTATTTTTGTGGATGGATCTCTATTTATTATTGTCTTAGTCTGTGGCAAGCTGTTTCCTGTGCAGTCGCATCAAATTGTTTTGGTGGATTTAAAAAAAAAAAGCAAAAAAATATTAAAATGTTTTAAAAAACACACACACTTCGAAATTTATTAAGGATGGTTTTTCTGTTTGGGTGGCGGGTTATCGTTTTAATTTCCGGTCAAAATCATTGGTTCTGCAGTCATCGGAGAACAAGGGGGGTGTTTCAAACTGGCAACCATTTGTGTGGTGATCATTCAAGATCACAACAATGCGGGGGGAAAAACGTGACTTACAACCAATCCTCACACGTACGACCATTGCAATGGACTCCCAGGCACGTGGTCGCAATTCGCATGCTTGGCAACTGCTGGTGTATTTACGACGGTAGCCGCATCCTAGTGTTGTGTGATCGTTGTTGTGACCTCCCCAGCTGGTTAACCGGTGAGTGGGTGGGGATCGAATTTGCTTAAGGACCACCGTGATTCACTTAACAACCCTGACAAGAAAGGTAAAATTGGGTGTAACCCGCTTAATAACTGTCTTGTTATTAAGAGAGCCGAGGTGGCGCAGTGGTTAAATGCAGCACTGCAGGCTACTTCAGCTGACTGCAGTTCTGCAGTTCGGCTGTTCAAATCTCACTGGCTCAGGGTTGACTCAGCCTTCCGTCCTTCCGAGGTGGGTAAAATGAGGACCCGGATTGTTGTTGGGGCAATATGCTGACTCTGTAAACCGCTTAGAGAGGACCAAGCTAACTGCCTGAATATTCCCATCCTGCCCCTGGGAGTCAAAGCGCTGAAGCACAAGCAACGTGGGAAACCTCGGCTGGGTTCTTCGATAGAAATGCAAAGATTTCTCTGCGGACCACCAAAATTTTCTCATGGACTACTGGTGGTCCACAGACCACCAGTTGGTGACCACTGGTCTGAATCATTGATGAACAGATCTTGTGAATCCTCCTGATCTCTTCTTTTTTGTGTGTTCAGGAGAACCTTGTGTCCTTCAAGTAGGTGGCTGTGTATTTCTCT